CAGGTTAGTCTTTTACTGTCCAAAATGACACCAGAACCTGATTCTAGGGACTTTTAACCCGAAGCCTAAGTAGGGATAAGTCAGCGTCTAATACACGTTGTCGGGTAGCTTATTCCCGTAACAATGGCTAAGTCTACGTATTCGAAGTCGTAGCACAAAGTCTCAGAGAATTCACTCTCTTAGCATAACGTTACATGTGGAACGGATTTAGACAATCTGCATGCTAGCCCGACTCAAACGGTAGTCGGTAAAGGCTAATCAGATCCATTGAAGGCTGAGGGTTAGCCAAAAATCTTAAAGTCAACGCCTAACACGCGCTGCCGGGTAGCCTATTCCCGTAACAAATAGTAAAGTCTACGTATTCGAAGTCGTAGCATCAAGTCTAAGGGAGTTCATTCCTTTAGCACAACGTCACATGCGGAACGGACTTAAAACAATCCGCATGTAAGCCCGATTCAAACGGTAATCGGTAAAAGCATGTCAAATCCGTTGAGGGCTGAGGATTTGCCAAAAATCCTAAGTCAACGTCTGATACACGTTGCTGTTTAGTCTTTTCACAGGAGAAAGACGAAGTCTACGTATTCAATATCGTAGCACTAAAATGGTTAACTCTTTTAGCATAACGTCACATGCGAAACGGACTTAAACAATACGCATGCTAGCCCGACTCAAACGGTAGTCGGTAAAGGCGCATCAAACCCGTTGATGGCTGAGGGTTTGCCAAAACTCCTATATATGCGAAAGTCATTGACGCACCAGCCCCATTAGTTGGTCTCGTGACTTAGACATCCAACAAATTCGGGATAAGATCCACACGTGCGGATGAATCAGCTTTAATAGTTGGTCCTGCAGCCCAATATTTAGGACCGCCACGCTCCAACGCCTTAAGAGCTTAAACTGTGGAGACTCCAACAAACGTACGAGTATAAACTGTGTCAATTGTCGGTCAACTCGTTACAACTAAAATCAACGCCGGACAACGCGTTACAGTAAAGGTCGATGGTCAGTTCTATGTTGAACCAACAAACACGAGCTAAAGATCAGAAAATCAGGAATCGACTTCAAGTTCAAAATTCCAACAACGGTCAAACAATAAATGCAGCACCGGAACCCTTACAGACATTCGACAAAGCACCGAATAGCCTGAAGGATTGAAGGAATCAAGAACAGAAGCTATTCCAAGGTCCTGTTACACCGACTGAAGGTTGGGACAATCATATCCAAAGTATTCCAGTCTCTTCTATAAAAGAACGAGGCTGAAATACTTTGGAGGGGGTATCTGTAGGCGTCTAAAAATGCCTATAGGTGTCTGCGCATAGCTCGAGACAAAGAGAAGGTGATGAACGCCATTATCCAAGTCGAAGGGGATTATCCGAGTCAAAGAGGATCATCTGACACCGACAAGCGTATGAAACGAAACAAGTGACCCGTGCGCTCACCGGCCACCTCCAAGTGGCCAATGTGCTCACCAGCCATCGCCAAGTGGCCCGCGTGCTCACCGGCCAGCTCCAAGTGGTCAACACGCTCACCGCCCACTTCCAAGTGGCCCACATACTCATCATCCACCTCCGAGTTACGAAATGTATGAAATGAATTAGTGAAGCATACGAGTCAACGTGACACGCGAAACGGCAAAACGACTTAGCTAGGAGTTGTGTCTCGCCCACACAATGAGTGGCTTGACCATTGTAAGCCCACACCATGAGTGGCTCGGCCATTGAAAGTTTTAAGTATCTTCGTCAGCTTTCTAACGCATCTTGAGTCATCTCATTCCGAAATCGGACGAGAGAGTTAGAGCCAAAATACCCGAGGACGTACGAAGGCAAAACAACTCAGCCAGGAGTTGTGTCTCGCCCACACAATGAGTGGCTCGGCCATTGTAAGCCTACACCATGAGTGGATCGGCCATTGAAAGTTGTAAGTCTCTTCTTCAGCTTTGTAACGCATCTTGAATCATCTCATTCCAAGATCGGACGAGAGAGTTAGAGCCAAAATACCCGAGGACGTACGAAGGCAAAACAACTCAGCCAGGAGTTGTGTCTCGCCCACACAATGAGTTTTTCGGCCATTGTAAGCCTACACCATGAGTGGTTCGGCCATTGGAAGTTGTAGGTTTCTTCTCCAGCTTTCTAACGCATCTTGAATCACCTTATTCCGAGATCGGACGAGAGAGTTAGAGCCAAAATACCCGGGAACGTACGAACTGGCTCGCACAGTGCCGAGCCACCATTTGGTGGCTCGCACAAAGAACTAATATTTCAACCATGATCCGATTTTAATCTGAAGAAACTCAAAACATGAAAGTTGTAGATCGCTTTGTCAGCTTTCCAATGCATCTTGGATCAGGTCATTTGGAGATCATATGAGAAAGTTATGATCAAAATACCCGAGATACTCACAAGTGTCTCGGCCTGACCGAGCCACCTAGGCCGAGCCACCCAGATCTGGGCCCAGATCTGAGCCCAGATCTGGTTTGAAGAGCCTATAAATAGCCCCCTAAGCTCATTGTTTTTGAGGTTGGACTTTAGAGAGGGGAAACTCTGCTGGATTAAAGACTCAAGACTAAAAAAGATTGGAGCTTTGGAGCTTTGAGGACTCGGACTTTTCAGATCTGGTTCTTGGTGATCATCCACGCCAAATAAGGCAGGAGTTTGAGAGAGATCAGATCTGAGATCTACACGGTCATCCTCCAGATCAAAACTTGGTTTTTGATCCCGAGAAGAGTATTGATTTCGCTTGGTCGATTTCGATTACTTAGGGCTATTATTTCCTTGGTGAAATAATCCCCTCGGCTGTTATTTCCTTTGTAAAATAACACACGTCATACCGTGTAGATCCGACCGGATCAAGATCGCGCAGTGGTCTACGGATTAACCCCGGCGCAGGCAAAGAACCCACACAAGCAAGAGACCGCAAAAGAGGATCTTGCGATTTGTTCGAGAAGAGGAAAGTTGTAATTTTTCTTTTTTCTTTGATTTTGTTGTAACCGGATCTTATAAAAAGACTGGATCTTTGTGTAATCGATAAACAATTGCCAAAGAGCACAATGACTTCAATGAAAGCTACGATTTTTCCCGCAAACAACATGTTAATTATTCTAATGGGAAAGCACAAAATCGTATCATCAGATCATTATGATAAGTACGTATCAGCAGAAATTCCAGACCAGTATGAAAATCCAATTCTATATGAACTGGTAAAAAAACATATGATGCATGGCCCTTGTGGAGAGTTAAATATGAAGAATGTTTGCATGCAAAATGGCGAGTGCAAGTATCACTACCCTAGAGAGTTTTCTCCAAGATCAGTACAAGCGAAAGATGCTTACCCAATCTATAAAAGGAGCAAAAATAATAGAACAATGTTGATTCGAAACAAAATTCTTAATAATCAATGGGTGGTACCTTACAATCCATATTTGCTGATACGTTATAACTGTCACATCGATGTTGAAATATGCTCAGGCATAAAAGTAGTGAAATACCTTTATAAGTACATATATAAAGGCCATGATAGAGTGGCAGTAAACATTGAGTATAATGAAGGTGAAAAAGTTGTGAATGAAATCAAAAATTTTCAAGATGCAAGATGGGTATCAGCTCAGGAAGCTTTCTGGAGAATATATGAATTCCATCTTAATGGGATATTCCCGGCTGTCATTAACTTATAACTTCACATGCCAAATCAGCAATATGTTTCTTATTGGAAACATCAAGACCTATCGAAATTGATTTACTTGGAACATGTCTCCAAGACGATGCTTACATAATTTTTTACTATGTGTAAAAAAATTAAAGAAGGTAACAAGAAGAAACATGAAAAGGACCACGAAAATGAGTTATTATATGTGGAATTTCCTGAATGTTATGTTTTGGATTCAACATCAAAATCTTGGAGTCCAAGAAAACAAAGACAAGTGATAGGTCGAATAAACGGGGCTAATCCAATTGAAGGAGAGAGATATTACTTGCGACTATTGCTTACTCACGTTAGGTGTCCGACATCATTTGAGGATCTACTGACGGTAAATGGTATTCATTGTAAATCTTTCAAGCAATCAGCCCAGAAATTAGGTCTTTTGGAATCTGATGATAGCATAAGAGAGTGCTTAGATGAAGCAATCGTCTTCCAAATGCCAACAGCACTTCGACATTTGTTTGCAACTATATTGGTTCATTGTGAGCCCACAGATATTAATTATTTGTGGGATCAATATCTTGAATCATTATCTGAAGACTTCTCAAGGAAACCAAATGCTACTAGAGCTTCAGTGATAAATGATACTCTTCTCAATATTAACTTCTACTTAGAGAGTATGGGAAAGGATATTAAAAAATTTGATTTGCCACCTTTACAAACAAAAACTATTTCAGAGGAAGGTTCATACCCAAGAGAAATAAAAGAAGAGCTAGATGTACAAATCCCAACTGATGATCTAAATGCTGCAACAAAACTCAACTATGAACAACATACTGCATACACTACAATATTAACACAAGTTGAAGCAAATAAAAGTGGAGTTTTCTTTATTGACGGTCCTGGAGGAACTGGGAAGACTTATTTATATCATGCTCTACTTGCCACAATAAGATCGCAAGGTATGATAGCTCTTGCTACAGCGACATCAGGTGTCGCAGCTGTAATAATGCCTGGTGGAATAACAACACACTCCAGATTTAAAATCAAAATCCTAACAACAGATTCATCTATGTGTGGTATATCAAAGCAAGATGGGACATTAAAACTCATTAGAATAGCTCGTCTAATAATTTGGGACGAGGCTCCTATGGCTAAACACGTTGCAATTGAAACGTTGGATAGAACACTAAGAGATTTAATGGATCAAGATGAACCATTTGGCAGAAAAGTAATTGTATTTGGTGGCGATTTCAGATAAGTTTTACCAGTGGTGCCTCGCTCCAAGATCACAAACTATTAAAGAAAGTTTAGTAAGCTCACATTTATGGAGCAAAATGATCAAACTATAACTTTCAAAAAATATGAGAGCAAAATCAGACACAGCATTCAGTGAATTTCTTCTTAGGATTGGGAATGGAGATGAACCAACAGTGACCCAGAATCTCATAAAACTGTCTAATGCAATATTGATCCAGAATCAAGGTGATGACCTACCGGAAGATTCTCTCATAAATTTAATTTTTCCATCTTTAGATGAGAATTTTAAGTCTATTGACTATATGAAAGATAGAGCTATCCTTGCAACAAAAAATGAATATGTTGACATGTTAAATGATAGACTAATAAAAAGGTTTCCAGGAGAAGGAAAAGAATTCTATAGCTTTGATGAAGCAGTTGATGACACTAATCATCATTACCAAGAAGAATTTTTGAACACTCTGCTCCCTAATGGACTACCGCCACACAAGCTGATGTTGAAAAAATATTGTCCAATTATTTTACTAAGGAACTTGGATCCAACTAATGGACTGTGCAACGGTACAAGAATGGTATGTCAAGATTTTAACTATAATGTAATTCAAGCTAAAATCACAATGGGCCAACATGCTGGGAAAGAAGTTTTCTTGTCAAGAATACCATTGTCACCAGCAGAAGATGAAGGATTACCATTCAAGTTCAAACGCAAACAATTTCCCATAAGATTATGTTTTGCAATGACAATTAATAAATCCCAAGGGCAAACAATACCTAACGTAGGTATTTATCTACCTGAACCAGTGTTCTCTCATGGGCAATTATATGTTGCTTTATCGCGGGATACTTCTATGATGACAACCAAAGTCTTAATAACATCAGATGGAAAATTTGCAGAAGAGGAACAATACACAAAGAATGTTGTATACAAGGAAGTTCTCCAGCCAAAGGACCACGAGGAATAATTCAAATGACCAATAATATTTTTGAAGGTTACGAACTTATATAATAAGTAGCTGCAATTTTATTAGTTTTTTTCTTAAAAATAATTTAAAAAAATTACAATTCATTATTACATCATTCACTATGTTCGTTCAAAATCATGTACTAATCAAAACTAAAATAACTTTAAACATAGTAAATAATATTAATTAATAAATTCAAATTACTATAATTAGTATCACACCTTTGATATAGAAATAGTCTCATTTTATTTTATTTTGAGTTTATTTAGTACTTCAGATGCGTTGTTATTTATACATAACAAACTATTCAAAATCTTACAGGAACAATGTCATCCACCAACGAAGCACCAATTCCACACATCCAAATACGCCAACTAAAAAAGTTTCAAAGAGAGTGGACCATTCATGTTGTTATCCTAAGAACTATTGAGTCATCTTATGAGAACAACAAAGGATCAGGAAAACTACTAAAAATAATTTTTACCGACTCGTAATGTAGCAATATTCTACATGCTATAATTCTATTGATAATTGTTGATACTTATTCTTAAATAAAGTAATACATACAATGTTTAAGTACAATATGCACCACTTTTTATCATGCCATAGCAATCGTTATTTTAAATCTATACAGAGCCTTCTTAATTTTTTTAAAATTTATAAATTATAAATATAAATTAAATTATAATTGTTGATGCTTATTCTTATATTAATTATTATCACCTTACTGTGTATAAGATCATATAAAAAAAATTCCTGCATTTATTAAAGAGGTAAGCAACATGTAATTCATTTTCGCAAATTTTATACAACAAATATCATGCTTTCTTCCTAATTCTACGTAAATTAATTGTCTACATATGTCTAACAATATAAGCAATTAAATAATTGGAATATGACATCAACACAACATTATATACACACTGCAACAAAATAGTTATTATTTAGACTAAATTTTTAATAAGCATATTTACCATAAATTTATTATTTAGTTGCATGATCAAGCTAAATTTTGAGCATATTAATTTATCATGTTAGCCCCTCAACTTAGTTGGTGTTGAAAAACTTTGGTGGAATTGTTTATACAAGTAGCGCCTATTGAAATTGTTTACAAAGAGCTAATCCGTATAAATGATTAAATTTGTTAATTGAGATCAAATGACTTATTAGTAAGTAGTAGAAATTCTAATTCAATAACAGGTAACTTTATATAAATAAGTTTAGTTTTGTTGATGAGTTAAAAGGTAATTTTTTTTTGGACCCGAAGATTATAGATTTCTTTCAGTAAAATCTAGAGAATGGTTAGTTAAAAGTTTCCCACATAAAACTACATTTATACATAACTTGCGTCATCTATTACTTATCTTATTTATCTTAGGCTTAAATGAATGTTAATGTATTAGTTATTTGTGAGATAATATTAGTAATATTTGCAGGGAAAAAAAATACAAGGTATTATGTTTGGAGAAACTATTAAAATGTACAAGCACATGCTTCAGAAGAATCATGTTGTTTACATCTCAAATGGAGAAGTCAAACCAATAAACCCGCTTTATGGAAATGTACATGAGTCAATTGAGTTGACATTGACTAAGAACATTTCTATCAAAGAATCAAAAGCAGAGTTTCAATTTGATAAGATATTGAATAACTTTATCTCAATCAAAGACGCAATTTCCAACGAGGATACAAGGAATATAAGTAAGTATTTGTAAACACCTTTTATTTTTAATTTAAAAATTTATAAATGAATTTTAAAATTATTATAAATTTATGTGCAGATGTTCTTGCAATGATAGCAAATGTCAAGCCTATGATCAAGTACGTTACAAGATATAATAAGGCGGACACAAGGCGGGACATCATTATAGTAGACAAAGAGTATACACGCATGTTTTTATTTCATAATAAATTAATTATTCAAAATATAATATATTAACCTAAAATTGTCTAACTTTTCTTACACGGTGAGATAACATTGTCTGTAACTTTATTCAGAGACTTAGCTGGCAATGAAGGTTCAATTATTGAAGGAAATATGCATGAGACAACTATAATAGCGCTATCAGATTTTAGCTGGCAATGAAGGTTCAATTATTGAAGGAAATATGCATGAGACAACTATAATAGCGCTATCAGATTTTAAAATATCATTGTACAAAGGTTTGAAGGAAATATGCATGAGACAACTATAATAGCGCTATCAGATTTTAAAATATCATTGTACAAAGGTAATATTTTTTATTATTTAATTGTAAATTATTTATCAATAAATATCAAATTCTAATTATAACTATTATATATGTAGGGGAGATGTGCATGACTTCGTAAATTACATCAACAATATGTATCAACCCTGAAATACAACTTGCTAAGGACATGCGAGAATGGTAATTCAAATAAAAAAGGTAACTTAATAAATTAAAATTTAAATATTTTTAAAATTATATATAGGGCTCTTTCAAAAGACAAGATCAAGACTAATGGTGCTCTGTCAAGGCTATTTAAAAATGCAGCGAAAATGAATATTGTTGACATTATGTAAGCTTCACAAAAATCATCAAAGGTATGATATTAAAAATCCTACTATAAAATATTAATGAATCAAGAGCTTCAGTTTCAAAACAAGCTGATATAAATAGATCTTGTTTCATTGATGTTTCAAATATATTTACAATTATTACTTTTACATTAATTTTTTAAAAAAACATTTTTGACTATATTTTTTCAATTATTTTATAATTTCTTATTTTATTTACTAAATATATTTAAACTACGATTATAACTAACTAAATTTTTACAAATCTACAGGCACAATATGGCAGCTTTACTGGAAAAATAAGTAATATCTTAAATAGACATGAGGTGTGGTACTACTCATGCAAAGGCTGCAATAAAAAAGTAGACAAAACTATTTATGACAAATGTTAAAATTGTCAAAAAAACAATGAAGACAGTATACCGAGGTAAAGTACTATCAATTACTCATGAAAGAAAAATATAAAGATTAAATATAAAAATATCATCTGATGCACAATGATAATACAAAATGTAGGTATGTTGTTAAAATCATAGTGGAAGATGAAACAGATAATGCAAGAGTCACACTTTTTGACACAGCAGAAACTTTGATAGGATGCAATGCTCAAAAATTCATGGATGATATAAAAGAGGTAACTTCTTACTTTATTATATTTTATACATATAAAACAATATGTTTCATGTATAAGATCTTAATTTTTTCCTCATTAAAACAGAAAAAAAATCAGAGTTCATTCTTTCAAAAGTTTGTTCTCAACATCGAAAAGACATACAAGTTCCTTGTAAAGTTGGATGAGAAATCAAAGGATGAACGTGCACAAGGAAAGATAATAGTACAAGAAATCCAAATCCAAGAAGACATCACAATCAACATTGATGATGATGATGATTCGGTTCTCGATTTACCAAAAAAAAAAGATAAAGGTGGAGAAGGATTGATCAAGGGCCCACAAAAATTAAACATGAATGTTTTTTAATTTTAATTACATTTACAAATTGGTTGAAGGATTTCAAATGAGCTTTTCATATGCTTTTAAGATTATGAACTGATGAATTTAACTTGTTAGGATAATTTATGATTTATACGCATATGCTCATATAGTTGTTTGATAACTATTGCATGCTTTGATTGTTATTGCAGTTATTAACTTAAATTTAACATTCAATTATGTGAATCTAAATACATATTCAGAGAATAGTTCACTTTATTACTTTAAATTTGCATGTCAACTATTTTTTACTTATCTATACTGCACACAAACTATTGTTGATGAGTCCTTTGCAAGAAATATGATGACCAAGCACAACTTCCTGAACCTGTTGAGAGGAAACAATAGCTTTCTATAGAGAAGGTAGCTAATTTTACAAAATTGTTATTCTAATTTATTTCTTTTAGTAGCCCAAATTTATTTGTATCTGTTTTATGACATGGCCAGGTTCTCAGTGTTCTTAAAAGAATAATCAATGAAGATTGCCTACTACTAGGTTTCATACTGAAAGATGATCGTCCGGATTGGATGATATTACGACTTCTTCCTATTCAACCATCTACTGTAAGACCATCTGTTATGATGGACAGCTTTGCTAGAAGTGAGGTAAGTTTGTTCTGTTTCACAAAATAATGGATAACCTGTATAGCGTTACAAAACCATTGCATCACATTTTTTTTCCTTTTTACTACAAACTATTCATGCTTGAAGAAATATATCTTAATCACGAAATTTTTGTCCAAACTATTCATGTACATGAAAATCCATTCGCCAACCCTTTTTCTTGGACATATTTCTATAGTATAAATTCGACTCTAAAGTTGCTGGGACGCCTATCGTTCGACTTGGTTTGCATGATTTCATCGAGATTGTGTTTCAGAACACTGAAAACACAATGCAATCTTGGCATCTTGATGGATATAGTTTCTGGGTTGTTGTCATTTTGTTCCTCTTATCTCTTTGTCTTTTTTGTGGTTCAATATGACATGATTCACATTATACTTATGCACGTTAAGTTCATTTCTTCGACAATGGACAAAGGTAACATTTTTTCATGGACGGTGATCAATTTAGGATTCAATACCTTTGAATAAATCATGTGATCAATTTAGGATTCAATACCTTTGAAAAAATCATGGGTGAAGATAGTTCGATATTTGAACAAAGTTTTTACAAACAAATGATCAAGTAGTTTGTCCCTCTCCTGAGTAGTCAAATATTATAGGTTGTGAGGACATCTGTGGTATGATCCGCATGAGCAGAAGGCTATACTTGGTGCACTTACAGTTTTTTCCTTCTTCTTCGTTTGTGTAGCTACGGAGGAGGTCAATGGTCCGAGAAAATGAGGTTGTTGTCCAAGCCACGTTCCATTCTATAGAATAAGTTCGTTATATTGAAAGTACTGCATAATTAACAGGATATGCGTCCCTGTAATTTTCTTTTGCTTAATAAAATTTCAATAAAAGTAATCAACATGGATTATGATTACCTTGTTTCTTGGGAAATACCAAGAAGGCACCTTGAGTTGCTATTATGATCATGAGTAGATGTGATTATATTCATAAACATTATTGAAATTCAAAGATGGCACAACCCTTTTTCTTGGACGTGTTTCGATAGTTAAATTCTATCGTATATGGATCAAATATGACAGGTTGATACCTGCTACCAAACTATGATTTTACGTACTAAAAAGTTATATATGTTTCCAAATTCTATAGATATTTGAAAAATCCACATATGGTTGGATAATTATATAGTCCGCTGAAAATGCTACAATGTCCCTAAAGATACTATGTTTGACATCCGTCATATTTGTTGACTAGAAGATAGTTATGAGTCAGCTGCCTGATTAATTATATTTGTTAACATAATTATTGTACTTTGCATATGGGTTTTGTTCTTAAATCATAAGCTATTATTGGTATCACACGAGATAAATAAAGACTATGGACTAATGCATTTGAGTCATGAAATTCATTCAATTTGGTTTGCACGCATTTGCACGTTACCTGGCAATTGTATGATTGACTAATCAGAAAAATTTCCACTCACTCCTGCGACTCTTAAGAGATTTGTTGCCCCCCCTCTCTCATCATGAGTTATATACATAGCAAAATTACACATTCATGTTAATGATTGTATATGAGAATCTGATGTCTCATGAGAAGAGTTTTATTGACCACTCCCTATCATGAATATATATGAATGCTTTTATCTGATGTCTTACTGACTCTGCTATGCTACATCTTGAGGTCAACCGGGATATTAACGTGAAAACCACGATAGTATTATCAATTTAGGTATTTATGGGTGATTTTTGCAAAACCAGTTAGAATAGTGACAGTCAGGTTGTTTGTTTCCAGTATCGACTTTTTCATTATTCATTCTAATGTCCAAGTTTCTTTTTAAACAAGTGATTTTTTCATTATTCATTCTAATGTATTTTAGTGACATAAACTTGAATTGCAAGTTGTTAGCATTTTGAATGGTGAACATTGGTCCACTATTCATGTCTTAATATTCTATGTTGAGGGAATTATGTTCTAATACACTTTAAGCTGTGGAATTTATGCGTTATTTTCACACAACCGGTTTGGAATTGTGATGGCAATGATAGTCTGCTTCCATGCGGGCTTTTATTCAGTATAGCTGGAATGGATCTGAGTTAAAAGTTTCTTTTTGAACAAGTAGTGAATGCAGTTTGGTAGCTTATACTTTAATTGATTGTATGATCAATCTCTATCATTAACTGCAAATTGATCCATTGTATATCCTTAGATATGGCATCTGGAGCGCAAACTGAAATCACTGTTCCAAGTGAATTCGTGCTTGAATGGGTTCAGAAAGACAAGCGAAGATTCTTGCATGTTGTGTACCGTGTTGGTGACTTGGAGAGGACCATAAAGTATATATTCTTTTTCTGAAATATATCCTTATTGATTGTTAATTTTCATTGTTGTGTGGCTAATTTACTCTTTTTTGTGTTTCAAGATTTTATATTGAGTGTTTTGGTATGACCCTACTGAGGAAAATGGATGTTCCGAAAGAGAAATACTCAAATGCGTTCATTGGCTTTAGACCTGAAGATTCTCACTTTGTGGTAGAGTTGACATATAGTATGTCTCCTTAACTCCGTTTTCAAACATGTAGTATATAACCTTTTGTCTTTATTTATTTATTCTATAGTTCTAAAAATTTTGATAAATTGGATTCTTTCTTCTTGTGAATATATCTAATTAAATATAACGGAAGGAAGAAGTTGCATGGATGTTATTAATCATAAGTAGAAGTCCTAATTGCTTGTGCCTGGATCTTGTAGAATTTCATCCCCTATTCATTGACAATGTCCATCTTTCCCCCTCTAGAAATGGACTGTTGAGTTTTTGAATTCATGTGGGGATAATATTAGTTAAAGAAAACCAAATCTTATAAGATGCAATACGCTCATGTTTTGGTTTACAATGTTTAATTTACAATAGATGCAGTTCACTTTATTTATAGATATAGATTGAGGAACTTATGAGATGTTGTCAGGAGCATAACAAGTTAACCTTGTAAAAATTATGCTTATTGTCAGGACTTTCGTCTAGCTTGCTGAGGATATTCGTTGTCAGTCATGACCCGGGCACCGTTGCTATTATTTGTTGGTTTTTACCCTTGCCTAAAGTGTGGATTTATTTTGCATCATGAGCAAATAATTATTACTCTACATGTGTTCTCAAATTATTCTTATTTTGCAGAACGGTCGCAAGATTTGTACAGGTGAGTGTGCACTTTTTCAGGCTGGCAATGCCCCACCTTTTATTGGAATCATACGGTGGTTCACAACAGACAAGGATGATTGTCTTAAATTATATGTAAATTGGCTTTATCGACCCGCAAACATCAAGCTCGTGAAAGGCATACTATTAGAAGCAGCACCAAACAAAGTTTTTTATTCATTCCACCAGGACGTGATATCCGCTGCTTCATTGCTTCATCCGTGTAAAGTTGCTTTCCTCTGTAGGGGTGGTGAACTTCCACCAGGGTTGTCATCATTTGTGTGTAGGCGAGTGTATGACATTGCAAACAAGTGTTTATGGTGGTTAATATACCAGTATTATATCAACGTGAGTTTTTTTGATTTTTTTTAAGTGGTTGCAGTAGCTGTTGCTTTATTAAGATTATATTCACAAAACACAATTTTTTTCTTGTCTCTCCTTTAATTTCTCAGGAGCGACATGAAGAAGTAGATCATTTATTGGACAAGACCCGACTAGAAATGCATGCAGTAGTGCAATCAGGAGATTGTTCTCCAAAACCTATATCTTTTGCAATGAGTAATAAATTTGATGTATTCACGATCCTTATAGATGCAACCAGTGTATTATCACCCAATCAATCAATAAATGTAATTTAATTGTTCAAATATTGAATGTTTAGATTATGTCTATATGTTTTATCCATTACTTACATTCCATAATTTATAACAAAACATTATAAATAAAATTATAAATTTTAAACAAAAAATGAAAAATTTACCACGTAAATTGCACGTGCAATCCAACTAGTACATAAAACATGGCAGTTTATACGGATAGTAATATCCTAGACATGAACCATATAATGAGTCGAACACCGGAGTAATCCCAAGTGCAAAAGGATGTCAGGAAGTTGACGAGCGAACCCTGGAAGCTTTTTAGATAGAGATTGGGAATGATCACAGGTAGGGGTGCATTCGATTCAGATACAGCTCGGATATGATGCTTATCATATCCATATCCACTTACCCATCTCGGATACAGATACGGATACGGATATATCTTGGTAAGAAAAATTTATAACCATATCTGCTAAAATCGGATACGGTTATGGATATACATGCGGATATACAAGCGAATATGCATGCAGATACAAAACAGATATGAGAAAACTAGATAGTATTGAGAAAAACATAGTTCAGATACAAAACAGATATGAGAAAACTAGATAGTATTGAGAAAAACATAGTTCATGTGATACAAAAGAGTTTGTTAATATGTCCATTATAATTGAAAAGTTAAGATTAGACATCTTGATCATCAAAATTAACCACAAATTCAAAATTTATAAGAAATACCTTGGAAAAAGTCAAACCTATAAACACACTAAAAACCTACAAATAACACAAACAACCCCCGAAAATTTATAGAATTTGCAATAAACACTGAACTTTTTACAAATTGTAAAATAAAACCGTCAAATTTGTAAAATTTATAAAACTCCTGATGGTTTTCAACCTAACAGTACATTAAAAATATAGGAATTATAAATATCCCCTACATAATTTATAATTTATAATTTATAGAAAACACCCTTAAAGCTTCAAAAATTATAAACAAATCCTCAAAATTTAAAATTTATAAAAACACCCTGAGAATTTCAAACTCATTAGTAACTTGAAAGCATAGTCATTATAAATAGTCTATAAGCAATTTACAATCTGTAGAAAAGATCTATAAGTTTAAAAATTTGTAAAAAATCCTAAAATTTATAATTTACAAAGAAAACACTATGAGAATCTCTAACCTATAGACACTAAAATGAATATATAATATTCCTAACAACCCCTAGGAAATTAAAATTTTGCAAAAAAAATATCATACTCCATTTAAAAGTAGATTTAGGAAAAACTTTTCATGTTAAATATTACCCATAATTTTTTTGAAAAGAACATAACTAATTAAAGATCTATTAAATTTAAACTTTATAAAAACACCCTTAAAGTTTAATACATTGCAAATTACCCCTCCAAAGTTTGAATTTTTTCAATAATGTTTTTGTAATTCATTGCTTTCAATGTAATGTTTAATAGTTTTGTATAAATTATAAAAATTTAAGGTGTTTTTTATAATTTTAAAAACTTTTGAGGGTGTTTCTTTTGTAGTTTTCTAAATTTTCATTGTGTTTTTAATGTAATGCATAGATACGTCAATTAATGATGATATTGAAGAGTAATTCGTTTTTAAAATTATTAGGTCGTAGTTATGTGTGATCATCATTATTCCTAGGCAGTATCGTTTATATATGCAAAAAATTTTAAACAATCTATATAGTGGTTAACATGATTTTGACTTTAATGTACTATTTTTTATAAATTAAATTTAATGTGAACCCACTATATAATTTTGACTGTTGTCATCATAATTTTTATATGTTTGATTGATTGACTATATAGGTATAAAGACCATAGATTACTTTACTTTCTCACATGAACTAATATTTATCGCTTAACAATTTAAATTATTACTTTCAAATTTAATATAAAGAGGAGCTCTAATAAAATTTATTTATTTACCGACAGGATAATCTAATATCAATT